AGAAACGGTAAAAGCATTATGTCAAAAAACCCTTCATAGATTGAAATCTCTTTTTTTGTCCTTATTTTGATTGTAGACAAAAGGTAAAGGTAAAAAAATGGTGGTAATTAGTGTTCAACATCCAGACGGCATTCATCAAATAGTATGCATCATAGGTCGTCTCATTGTATTAGCTGGAGCTATATTAAAGGGGAAATCTGAAATAAGAGAAATGACCAATGTGGGTATACGAAAATATTTTCAGGCTACGGTGAGCTTTTCGATTTCTGATGTTTATCATGAATCGTATATGTTATTATTTTTGACTAGGGTGCTGCTTTTCTTGAAAATTGTCTATCATGTTCATTTTGTTGTGGTATCATTATTGTTAACATTCTTCATCTACTCGATATACAAGCACAAACTATCGTACTTGCACTTGTCTCTATCATAGGTTGGGGTTATATGCTATTTTTTGTTATGGCTTTTCAACTTACTGGTCCATTTGTGTTTATGATCTATGAAATGCTTTTTCATGATGTTCTCCGTTTTTGTATTATTTATATGGTATTTCTTGCTGGTTTTTCACAAGCATTCTTTGTTCTATTCAATAATAACGGTAAACAGAATGAGAGACTTTTTGTTGCTATTTTGTATTATTATAGGTTTTGGTGGTTTTCTTGTGAGTATCAAACAATGTTTTTTTGGTATGTTGGGTGATTTTGATCTCGATCATTATACGGGAACATCATTTCAATATATCAGTGTTTCATTACTTGTCATTTATGTTGTTGTTGTTTCTATTCTTCTACTCAATTTACTCATTGCTATGATGGGTGATACATATGGAAATGTAATCGAAGGTGCTACACAAATATGGTTCGTTCAATTTATTTATTTTTCTCATTGATTTATTCTTTTAAATAGGCATTTAGAACGGGCACGTATTATATTTGCAATTGAAAATGAAATGTCGACAGATGAACGGAAGTTAGATAAGAATAAATATTGGACAAATGTCGATGGTCAACGATATTTACAAGTAGAAGAAGTTGACAAAGACTGTTTTCGTGATATTAATAATGATGATGAAAATTATGACAAAGACAAGAAAAGAAGAACATAAGATACCCCAAGTAGATGTGAAAGATGTTTTATCAGAAGACGAACAACAATAATCGATTATTCTTCTTTAACAAAATATATACAGTATAACCTCCCTATAGTGGATACCTAAGGCATCCTTCCAAAGTATCCACGATAGGGAGATGCCCATTTTTGAGATGTTTTCAGTCTTTTTCTTAGTAGTCATTTCTGTAGTTACTGAAATAAATCAAACTCCCTTTTTCGATATTATTTTGCAATGAAAGACATTTTAAGATATTTTATATTATAATTTATTGAAATTTACTTTTTTCACATAATTGGTTGAAAAATATTTGGATTTCATCAATACTTTTTGAAAAAATTAGTTATACAACTTTGTTGGGACATTTTCCAATCAAGATAAACATTAGCCATCTTTGACTCGAGTTCGCTGATAAGTATGTGGAGTTCAGGCTGTTCTGTTGACGTGAATAAAGGTAAGGGTGTGGGTGTGGGTGTGGG